AATTATTATATTCATTTCCACGAATGGTCCTTTGTTAACATTTTCGTTAAGAACGTGGATAAAATTGTATATTCATACTTTTCTCTCTTCAATTAAGCTTAGCTCTAAACCCAAAACTGAAATGATCATTTCTCTTTGAATTATTAGTCTTCCTGATGGACCCTAAAATAAGCTTTATGGATAAGTTTTATCGGTTAGTCTCAAGAAATTGCAAAGAAAATAAACATTAAAACTCATCCATAAAGGTTACTGGTTTCGAATTTGGGTTCCACCAGTTAGACAAACAATTGAGAGAAGAGTGATTATTTTGGTTTTGGGTTCAAAGTTTCAAACTCAGCGACGAGATCGGGAGAGGAGTGCGAGGGGAGGAGGAAGCTTAATTGAGGAGAGAATTGAGTGTGAATTAACAATTTTATCCACGTTCTTAACGGAAATGTTAGTAAAGGACCATTCGTGGAAATGAATATAATAATTGGGGACTAAATTAGTAATATTTGATATGTAGGGACTAAATATGTAAAACGACCTATAACTGGGGACCTTTTATGGAATTTACTCAATTTTAAAATATAAGTTGGCTTGGTAACTTATCATTGTACCTTACCAAAATTAAGAGTTATATAAAACACGACTCTTTTTGGGAACAAAGGAAGTATTTATCTAAATTTGCTTAAACATTCATGGTTTTATGGCATCTTTTTTCCTGAACTAAGATTAAATTTGTAATATACACCTGATCAGGTATGGCTCTTGGGGTGTTTGCTTCACTTATGGCACATGGTTTGGGGTATTGGGCCTCGTGGCTGCTGGAAGGAATTCCAACAATTCCAGTATCCGCAAGGCTTGTGACTTTCTGTTGTCCAAACAACTTCCTTCTGGTGGCTGGGGAGAGAGTTATCTATCTAGCAGTAAAGGGGTAAGTGTTGTGTTGATTTTTTTTCTTTCAAATATAATTCTTGCGCATGAAGCACACTTTCAACAGAAAGTCCACTTGTTTTGTGTGAGATTGTCATATTTAGCCTTAACAAGATGAAAAAAGCTTACACCACTTTATGGCACCACTTTGATAACATGACTCCATAGTGTTTCGTAGACACACACAGACAATAACTACAATAGCTGTTTGTGCCCCGCATTAGTGAAAAATTTTCCACTAAATTAAGAAATACTCTCTCTCTCTCTCTCACTCACACACACACACACACACACACACACACGGACTACATGAGCTTGATTAGAACACTTTTACAACTTAATCTTCCACTAAATAATAAAATCTTCATATACCCTTGATTTCATTTCCTAGGTTTATACAAATATTGAAGGCAACAGATCTCATGTAGTACACACGGCATGGGCTTTGTTGACCCTCATTGCTGCTGGACAGGTGATTTCTTTTCTATGCTGCTTAAAATACTTTCCTTGTGCAATTGGTTTGCTGTTGTGTGAAATTACTTTTTCATCCTCAATGCTGTAAATTTCTATGCTTGAAAAAATCACAGGCTGAGAGGGATCCGATGCCATTACATCGTGCTGCAAAATTATTAATCAATTCTCAGTTGGAAAATGGAGATTTCCCTCAACAGGTAAAATTCTGTTTCTTTCTTGTTGGGTTGGGAATACTTAGGATCTCTTTATTACTTTTGTAGAGAACTTTTTTTTGGAACCAAAGCTCAATAAAAATGGTCAAAAACTCAGTTTTCACCTTTTTGAGTTGTAGATATATATTTTCTCGAGTTACAAAAAAAGTACAATCGTAGCTTGTCTTTAAGATTCTAACTTCTTAGCAATGATAAAGCTTGAATTGACGGATGCGTTACAATTTACAAGGGCTTAGACTGCTATTCAATTTTCATTGATTTTATTATATCAGGAAATAGTTGGAGTCTTCAACAAGAACTGCATGATATCATATTCTGCCTATAAGAATGTATTTCCCGTATGGGCGTTGGGAGAATACTGCAGCCAGATTCTGAAAGCCCGCGTGTAGAGTGGTTACCGTTGCAATTTTGCCCTCCAATTTCGTTTCCGAGGTAAATTTATGGACATAAGGTTAAGGGCCATATAATAATTATGGACCTTCTCATATAAATAATAAATGATTACAAGGATATGCATTTCATTTTTATTTTATTGCGGAGTGTTTTGTTTACGTGTAAATGTCCATGTAGATCTCAGATCCATAGAATTACTCTCATTTGAATGCTCTTAATACCGTTTTGGTTCCACTCTTGTGACTATTGTGTGTGTGTGTGTGTGGTGAAGTACATATATAATTTGCAGCAGCTGTAAATGATATTCCCGGTTTTTTAAATTCATTCAATTCGTTTCTATAATTTGTTTATACAAGACATAATCTAATTTAACTTCAAGGTAGTGAGGGCAACAAAATTTGTGGTGGATTTTGAAGCCCTGTCAAAAATATTTATACGTAGTACTTGACTTGTTCGCCTTTAATTTATTTTACTGTAGTCTGAGAAGGTTCATATTTCATATATAGATCTTAGGATCACAAAAGAACAATTCATCTAATTCTAATTAATGTTCTTTTGACATTAGATCTTGATGTCATATTATGACATCGGGTTTTTTTTTTATCGGATCACTACACGCTTGTTTTTTTAATGATCCATTTATGGTTATATTATGTTTTTTGAAAATCATGTGATAACACATGGGGCTAGTGCCGTTAACTAAAATGCGTTCGAGAGGACGAAAATGAGGGATATGGGTAGGTATTTTTTTCTTAAACAATGGGGGAGTAACAACAAAGAGAACTAGACTAAAAACGAACAGATATGCTCCCCTCTCCTATACGGAAGGGTTCTCATGACATTTGAATCTCATGTCATGGGATGATTTGGGACCCTTACGGTGCCTCGATTTAACTCTAAAGTCAAATAAATTTAAAGGTGCAATTGAAGGAGGTGGGAGGTACGTTCAAGTGAGGGCGGGGTGCAGGAGTTTACTGGTGATTAGAAGGATAGTAATTGTCAATTTTACGAATGTGGCATCGTAGCGGTTTCGGTTTATCTCATGACATGTAGTTCGAATATCATGAGAATAGCCCCTTCTATAATCCAGACTACCGCCCAGGCGCCCACTCTCACTTTTCTTTGCGAATGAATTTGCATAGGAACCTTCCTTTGTGTTTGGAGATTGAGAAATTTACCTAAATAAGACTAAAACATAATGACTTTCTCAATATAGGACCATATGTTTTTATTTCTCAATGTAGGATCTTTGGTCATTATTAAGTAGTCATTATTCAACTAAATGTCCATCATTACTGGACATTATTCCTTCCACTAGGTCATTATTAAGTCCTATTTAGGGAATAAAAAAGTTTAAATCCTACATTAGAAAAGTCATTATGTTTTAGTCCTATTTAGTGCAAATTTCACTTGGAGATTCGACTTACACTTTGCATGGTCGTCATATAAAGTGGACATTACCCGAAATTAAACATAAGAATAATTACTACGTAATCAATTAAAGTTACAATATTCCATAAAAAATGCAGTATTATGATTTTATGTTTCCGTCTCCACCAATTAGAAAGCGGGTAAATGTCTACACTTTCGACTCCCATAATAAAAAAAACTGGCATCTTCAAGACACAACTTTTTTAAAAATTGCAAACCATCGTTAAACACGAAAAATAATTTCTTATTATTAAACTTTTAATACTAGTCGAGAAATTAGACGCACGTACACCTTTTATGAAGCGTGCATAATGGCGAACCTGGAAGCTGCAAGGAGTGGAGTCACATTTCAATGAAATAGTTTAAACTCATTTATAATTTTAAAACTTAAATTAATATATTCACAATTAAAAAAACTTAAAAATAAGATTCAAACTCTTAAGTTGGAAGCTACTCCTATTTCAAACTCCCTTCACCGAATATTTTCTTCCAAAGGAACAAACTGTTGGGACCGCCCGTATCAATATGATATTGTCTCATGCCCTCACATATTCTTTTTAGAAACTTTCCAAAAGACCTCATACCAATAAGATCGAGAAATCATATATATTTTGCTCATCTTTCTCATCTTCTTTCTGTGTGGGAGGAGTTTGCTACCGAACACAAACATGTTTTGATTCATGACTATAAGTTACTTTATTTTAACTTTAAAAAAGTAGTTTTCAATTGAAATCACAAATCTTTCAAATTCAGATTGGACAATTTGAAACGAATAAGGCCCCGTTCCGTTCAACTTATTTTTTCTTATTCTTATTAAAATCAAATCAGACCAAATCGGATCAGATCAGATCAAAACTTATATAAAAATTAGATCCATCAAGAATTATTATTATTATTATTATTATTATTATTATTATTATTCTTGTTGTTGTTGTTGTTCTTAAAAATGAAAAAGAATAAACTTTAGAAATAGGTTAAATAGAAAACTGAGAAAGTAATCCTTAATTATTAGACGTCGGAAAAATTAGTTTTAAAATACATTCACAATGTCAATCTAATTCTACTTTTAAAATATATTTTTATTGCTACTTGTAATTTGAGTTTCTAAAGTTTTGATCTTTTATAAGGATGAGATATTTTAATAAAAATACTATCTCTTCTATATATTGATTATCTTAATTTAATTACTTTTTAATGTATATCTAAATTAAATATTTATTCTAATGTATATATGAAGTAATTATTAAAATATTAAATTAATATTCTAATTTTACAAAAAAATAATCATAAAATAAAAAATATTATTACATTATAATATGAATGATTATTCTAATATATGAATTAACTATTTTTATTTTATTAAAAAATAATCATTAAATAAAAAATATTGATTATATTATAATACGAATTATCATTACAATTTTCAAACGTTATTATAAAGTCAAATCAAATTATTGATTTGAAATTTTAAATTAAATCATAATTAATCAGATCAGACAAGATCAGATCAGATCCAATTAGATCCGATTAGATAAGAACTTATTAAAATCAGATCAGATCAGAAAAATAAGTTGAACGGAACGGAGCCTAAGACACCAGTCACCATATAGCATGTCAAATTCCTTCAACCTAGGAAAATAGAATTAGACCCCNCCCCCCCCCCCCCCCCCCCCCCGAAAAAATAGTTAGGATACACAAATTTTTATTTCAAGTTATACACCAAACAGATACGAAGTACACATACTCGCGTTTACGCTCTGCACAAACATTTACATTTATATTTGTCTTTGATATATAGATTGGGGTATATTAGGTTACTCCTAAAGTTGGACACGGTTCTGGTACGAAACTGATATTGGAACCGGCGGTTCTAGAATCGGAACTGGTACCAGGAACTGCTGGGGAACCGGAATCAGGTTTCGGTTCTTGATTTTTGGTACCAGAAATGGTTTAATTTTATTTATGTTTTTATATTTTTTAGGGTGTTGCTAAATCGCTTCAAAAAGGACTATATCCACCCCTTTCACTTATACTACGTATTTGTTGAATCCACACCTATGTTAAAGTTATGTTAATGGGTGTAGATTTAGCAAATATAAGAAAAAGATGTGGATATAGTCATTTTTTGGATGGATTTAGCAATACCTTATTTTTTATGCTTATTTTTAATTTTTTTGAGGTTGATTCACAAAAAGTTTTATATATTTTTTTTATTTCAGAAATATTATTTTTTACAAAAAGTTTTATATCAAAATTAGTTCGGAACTAGAACCGGAACCGCTACGGAACTAAAACTACCCTTACACGGTACCGATTTCAGTTTCCTAAAACGGGTAGCGTTACTGTCGTTTCCGGAACTGGACCAATACTGTGTCCGCCCTAGGTACCCCTAACGGCCCATCTAAAAAACTCGAAAAAACTACGGAGTACATGATATGATTAAAATTTTGTTTGCCGTTTTTATAGCCCAAACTCGTAGGCCTAATTGATATGATTAAAATTTTGTTGGCTGTTTTTATAGCCCAAAATCGTACCGCCCAATTGTTGGCCGTAGTCCATAGATATGTAAGTCCGAATCCAATTTACCCAATGGATTTGGATAGACTACTATACCCTTTAATTTTCGTTAATTTACTTTGAATTCTTCTTCTTCTTCACTTCTACAGTTCGACCTACATTTCAATCGTCTGCAAAGCTCAACTCTCTCAATTCTCGTTTGCTTTCTGACAATCTGATCGGAACGACTCTTTCACAGTGGCAGGTATGGAAGAGATGAAAGAAATTACGGGTGGATTTGTAGAAGAAGAAGAAGCTTTGAAAGATGGCAATTTATTTTCTGAATTGAAGCTCTACTGTGTACAATTATTGGATTTCCTTCAAAATCCAAAGAAGAAACCTTCTTCTACTTTCTCCTCTCTTCTTCATCTTCTTCAGCGAGCATCCCCTGTTTCTCTCCAGCCTTTCTTTGAGTAAGTATCCATTTATACACGTGTTTGGTTGTTTTATCCTTCGCTTAACTGTTACAGAAAAGTTTTTTCCAACTATTTCTGTTTTTAAAAATTCCTCATTGGTTTTTGGGATAATTTGGGTGATTAGTAGACTAATAGTTTTAAGAAATGTAATCTTAGAATAGAATTTTCATGTAATTTTATTATAAATGTGTAAGGCTTGAAATGGATGATTTTAAAAATGATGCACTTGTTTGTTTTTTGCAAGCTAGCTGAATGCAATTGAGATATTGTTCTTGAAGTAATTGTATGAATTGAATAGTCATGGACTATTGAATGTATACATGACTTTACATTCTACTCATTTTTTATGCTAAGTGGAATAAAGTTTTATTTTAGTACTACTCACTCTATTACAATGTAGTATATATTCATACATACTTTCTGTTAGGGGTGAACCGGGGGTCTTATCAAGTTGTTATTTTTGGAGATGGAATTGTGGAATAATGAAGGGGAAATGGGCTGGATGAAAATATGGGAATGTGAAGGAGTTCTTTTTGGGTTTTGATATTATGAAGAAGAGTGGAAAATCAGGGATGAAGGATGGGTTTAGAAAGGATGGGATAAATTCCAAATAAGGAATAAGAGATAAACACACTCTTATCTTAATTTGGAGCCAAATTAATACTAAAGGATAAGCTCACCTCTAGATTAACTTGGGGTTGAATTCTAGTATTTAATTAAGATATGACACACTTAATCAAATATCTAGAACCTAAAACTCACACTTAAGATAACCACTCTTAAGATATAGAATTAGGAATTTGGCTAAAATAGCATCACACTATTTTATAAATACTCAAAGAGTAAAAGGGAGTTTTAATATTCAAAGTTGTGTTTACAATGGCAATAGGGCCTGATTATATAGGCAGGTGGAAGGGAGAAGAAATACACAATACATTGAATGTAGACATAAGGAAACTTCCTAGCAACATCCTCTCTCAAAGCCTTGAAATATCAGCCATGTTTTAGGTCCTTTTATTGGAAAAAAATCAGGGATGAGTGTGGTTGTAGGGTCTCCAATGAAAGGCAAACCAAGGGGAATGGATATCATTCTTTTGGCTGATTTGGGGGGATGTGTTCAGCCA